ATTTAATATTACAATAAAATTTGAATTATAAATTTGATATTGGAAAGTGGAAACTTAAAGAATTATTTATCTCTCAATTTTGAAAAAAAAAATCTAATTTCACGGAATAAATCCTTTAAACTTTGAATTCATGAATTTTCATAAATTTAAATAATGCTAATCACCCTTAATATAACCATCATGCCATCAAATTTTTCATATAATTTTTTTATCATTCTTTAAATTAATATTTAATTAGCCTTGAAAAAAACTGATTTTTTATAATTATTTAGTAAAATATTAATAATCATAACTACATGCCAATAAATAAAATTATTTAATTAATTTCATAATTAAACTAATTAATGAGTTAATTATCAATTATTTTTATCAAATAATCTATTAAGTAGTTGCCTTAGGCCCTTAGGATTAGATCTGGATGAAGATCAATTTTATTCCTACTTAGTCTAATCAAATAGTTCATTAATGATCATTTAATTATTTAATTAATGACATTAAGTCATTTATTATAATTAATAAAAATATGGCAAGAAAATTATAATTAAATATCAAATTAGCTTCAATAATTATTAGCAGGATTAGGCCCAATAAACATTTCTAATAGGATTCCGGAACACGTGCAATGCATGCTCCTTGTAAACCCCAAGGAAGAGGACATACTCGCGCACGTGTGTAAGTGTGTTGACGCCTACTCGCCTACACGTACATGGCCGTACAAACAAGAGAAATAAAAAACATGCCAGAATACTTTCTTACTTATAAATATTTAAATCTTAAAAATAACATTATGCATCATTTGAAAATGATAACATTTTTTTTTTATTTGGAAGATGAAGGCCCTTTCAAAATAGCATTTTAGGCTTCGTTTGAGACGTCTTTTTTACTGTTTTTTAAAGTAAAATTTTAGTTAAATTTTTTTAAATTTTATAATAGAAAGCTATTTTAAGAATAAATAAAAAAACTGTCCCAAACGCACCCTTAGTGTTATATGCAATTTTGGAGATAATTTTTCTCATTATGCTTTAATGAATTGTATGTAAAATAAAATAACTTATTATATAGCTACAATACTAGGGGTGCCAAAATCGGGTTTCGAGTTGGGTTCGATGACGTGCCGCTGGTTGACACGACCCAAACTTGACCTGTTTTTGCAAACGGGTCAAAAATGTTAACCTGAACTTGACCCGTTGAGTTTTCGGGTTGACATTATAATACCCAAAGTTTGTTAAAAGTAAGTAGGACTATTTCTCAATAAAATTATTAATTATTTTTTTTCATATATAAAAAATATCAAATTATTTTATTAGCTTTTAATTTTAATTTTGATTCTTATAGTATAATTATCTGTATTCATGTAAAAGACATGTTATCATTTAAATGAGTTTGTTCTAAGCACTTAATTAAAAGTATTATATGTAATAATACTTAGCATTAAATTAAATGAATGATTTAATTCCTAAAGCAAATAATCCATTTTCCTATTTATGGTTACTGTAGCATATTCACTTAGCATGGCATGCAATGGCTGGTCCCTCTCATACTTCATCCAACGGATAACATTAATGTATAGTGGCTTAGTGGAATTAATTATATAGTATTATAATAAAGAATGTATTCTTAGTGGAATGATTATATTATTATATTAGCAACACCTATAGCAATTTTTTCATTTTATTTTTTCCTTCCCATTCAAGAGACGAAACTCTGCAAGCCGTGGGAGAACTGGAGCTGAAAGAGGCGGGTTATGTGTGAGAATTTTAAGTTTGGTAGCTTTGAGGTAGGAGTTTTAAGCTTTCAGAAATCTGAGATAGCAATCTATGTAATCTTTGTGTTGAATTACAATTTTCAAATTTCTAAAATATAGCTGAAGGTGGTGGTTGCTTAATTCAAGAATATGGAGGAATGAAGTGGTATAGTTGTGACCAAAATTGAAAAAAAAAATGTGTTGTGTTGAATGAGGAAGTTTTATGAAGGTTGTTTACAAAAGGAAAAGAAGGTAGAGTCTAGGAGAACCAATTCCTCTCGAGGTGAGATACCCAAATAAGGTTATAAGAATTAATAAATATTTTATTATTACACTTCATCTTGATTATGTTTATGATCACATGTATTTCTAGTTTATTTTGATTATTTTGTATGAATATGATTGTTTATGTATGAAATTATTTATGTAAAGAATAATCTTTAGCAATGTGAATGATTTTGTAAGCATAAAAAAGTAAATATTCATAAACTAGTGAATGAGCAAAAAAGACACCTAAAGCGCACCTAAAGTGCACCCAAAGAACACCTAAAGTGCACCTAAAGGGCAACTAAAGGGCAGTTAAAGGGCACCTAAAGGGCAGCTAAATGATAACTGAAGAGCAGCCAAAGCGCAACTATGTCATCAAAAGCATATGTCATTAGGGCTAAAAAGTATGACTATATGAAAAGTGAAATAAGTTATATATGAGGGATATGCCAGCACAAGTAAAGACGAAAGACCTGATGAGGTAAGCCTACACTCTTAATTCTAGAAGTTGAGAAATTTGACTCAACCCTGAATGAGAGAACAACTTCCATTCAAAAAAGTTGAGAAATTAGACCTAATCTTGAATTGAAAAGTTTAAATGGTACAAAAGCTTAAAGCCATTATATAACTTATTTAAAGATGTTGCATAATTTTGGCAAGATAAATAATATTGCTAGGCACTTTCAGGTTCAATATGACATTTCAATATGTGTTTTAATTATGTTAGCATTGTTATGGTATTTTTTAATGGTTCATTATTATTTCTTATAAATTGCTTGTATATTTCATTGAGCCAAGCTCATTAGCACTGTTGTACTGCAGGAAAGGAGAAGAAGCCCTTGGGACAATAAAAAAGGTGACCGTTCTTTTGATGTAAATACGTTTTGGGTGTGCAAAGAGAACTAAAACGAGATCTGAATGCTAGATGTACAGACTTTTGGGTATGTGAATGAATTTTAAAAGTTTTAGTAGAGCTATGTATTTATTTTAATTATGTTGATGTTCAATAAGGAATATTACATGCTTCATATTATTAAGTGTGGAGTTTGATATATTAAAATCCTTCTCTGTTATACTCCAGTTTGCATGTTAGAGATTGAGCCAAACTGGAGTGTGACAGACATGACCCGGTCAAACACAACACGAAACGTCGAAGCCGACATGAAGGAACTTCATCAAAACTTGAAGGAAGCTAGTTAACGTGATTTTCAAGCTGATAATTAGGAACATCATCAAAAGAGGCGAGCTCTCGTGACTGCAGAGCCGACAGGAAGGAACGTCGTTGAAGGATGCGAGGTGTTCACGACTTTCGTATCGACAAGAAGGAATATCATCACAGGAAGGTCACTTACTTGCTCAACTCGCTCCATTGTGGGTCGCTGAGCGAGGATTGCTTGAGAAGAGGAAAAGCAAACCCTAAGCTTGTGGCCTTGCGAGTCGGGGTGTCAAAAATGAGTTGTGGGTCGGGTTCGAGTCAAACCCAACGGTGAAACCCGATCCATTTTGTAAATGGGTCATATTCTCAAACCCTAACCCGACCAACATATGGTCTATGTCAACCTGACACCACCCACCTCACGACGTGAGGGCATCAGTCATGTGAGTGCAGGAGGCGTGTGAGGGCAATGATTGTGCGAGGGAAGTAGGCATGCGAGGGCGTGAGCCGCTTGACTCGACGGTGAAGGCTTGATTCACTTGACTCGACGTCAGGAGCATCAGTTAGCAATGATAAACATATCAGAGGCTTGAGCTGCTTGACTCGAAGGCAACCCGATGGAGGCAATGCCCGACAACGGACGCTACTGAGTAGAACGACACGACAGATGAAGCGACAAACGACACAACTGAGCAGGAAACGAATGATCTGGGTCAAATCCTGTTGATTTCGGGTTAACCCGAACCCACCCTGGTCTGGTTCGAGTCAATCATAACCCAAAATTTTTTTGGGTCGGGTTCGAGTCATGTTTTTGGGCCGTGTCAAAAATTGACACCCCTACTTGATGGCGGAATTGTGGATCCGGGTTAGCGGGTTGATCCGGGTCAACTATGGGTTAGCGGGTTAACCTTAAACCGGCCCCTTTTTCAAACTGGTCGAATTTGGAACCCGAACTTGACACGTTTGCATAACGAGTTGACCATAATCCGAAATATTTTTGACGAATTTGGGTTGAATTTTTTGATCATAACAAATATTAACACCCCTATACAAGACAATGATCAATGAAAAAAATAAGTGCTGAGACATCCTCATATGTGAAGAAAACACAAGAGAATTGGCTTAGATTATTTACAAAGTTTGAATTTATATGTCATATAATATTGGTGATTGGATAAATATGTCTGTTATTACTTATTTCTTTATTTTGGAGAAATATGACATAAATTTAAATTTGAATAAAATCACTATTGCCATAAAATTATAAAACATATTACTTAGTGATAATGTGAATGTTTGAATAAGATGGATGTTCGAATTTATCACTTATGACATCTCTTTCAAAACAAAATTATGAAAAAGTTATATTTAACGGGCCCAAAAATAAAATCATTATAAATTAAGAGAAAATAATATTATACTTACATATAGATTCTATGAGATGTATAGACATCGCTAAATGATAATTTATGACAAAATTAACAAATAATTATTATTTAAATTTGAATGAACTATTAATATTCTCAAGACTCTTCACCTTATGATATATTTATAATACTTTAATAAAAATAACTTTATGCATTAAATTATAACTCTTAAAATTATATGCAATTTTTATAATTAAAACATTAAATAATTTAATGTAAATGAAAATTAGATTTAAAAATTAATAAAACACATTTCACCTCTTAAATAATATTATATTTAGCTAGAATATATTATTGTAGATTTTTTTTGGGGGATTTTTTTTTTTTTGAGTGATGGAGTGTAAGTTTTATTTAGGTAAAATAATTCCAAAAAATTTGACAGCAATTCGCCCACCCTCATATAAGAGGATAACTTACCGATCAGCAGTAGAAGGTGGGCTTCGAAGCAATTGGGGATAGAGAAAGCGAAGGAGCGAGAAGGCGGAGATGGCGATGGCGGCGAACCCAAACCCTGAATTGGAGTCTGACATCGAAGAGGGAAATGGAAAGCCTAACCCTAACGTTGCTCCGGCTGCCCCTCTCGTTTGCCTCCTGAGGTTTGCGGGTGACTCCGCTGCCGGGGCTTTGATGGGTTCTATCTTTGGCTACGGTACGCTTGCACTCCTCGCTTTGATTTTTTCCTGCCTCTTGAAGCTTAGGTTCTGTTTGGTTTGAAGAAATCGGTAGAGAGAAGATGAAAAGGAAATAAACGGGGAAATGCTAAGGCTTTGTTTAGTTAGGGGGAATTGAAAGAGCGAAAATGAAAGGCAAATGAAAATGGAGGCGATGCATGGAGTGAATGGAAAATAGTTTTCATCTGTATGTTTGGTTAAGGACCCATTGAGAGGGAGAAATTTTTTTTTTCTTGTTGCGGAGATTAAAAAATTGTGTTTTTGGTTATTGTAAGTATGGGGCGTGAGAGTCATAGCGATAAACCTATAAAATTTTCTTCCCATCTTTCACTTGGAGTTGGGCGGGGGATTGTCAATGGAAACATGTGCTGGGTCACGTTTCATAGGTAAATTCAAATTCGTCCTGCATTGAAACAAGAAACCTGCTATGAAATTGCGTAGCAAAATGAACACGCATTCCCCTAAATTCCTTCAAACCAAACAGACCTAAAGTTGCGAACTTTATTTTAGTCTTATTTGGTTATTCTTTATTTTTCTTTTTTATCAAATAACTTAAGTTGTGTTTGGATGGTACGCATTAGAGTGAATGGGAATGAGAAAAAGATGTGAAAATTTCAGACTAATTGATGCTGATTACCAAAGAACCTACAAATTGTTAGGATTTAATTTCATTTGTTTTCCTATAAAAAACAGGATTTGCTGGCAAATAGAGTCTGTTTAATAAGAGAATGGATGCTTATTAAACAATTTCACCATAATAATGAATGTCAAAATTTGAAGGGAAGAAGTAAAGTGAAAAAGAAGAAGATCGAGCTGAAGGGATTGTTTATTTATTTATTTAATGATGAATGTAGGAGATTCATTTGTCTAAAGGCGGAGATATGTTTTTTGATTGGTGAAAATATTTGATTGCAATGGGGACCAAATTTATAGTACTCTCAACTTAGATTGAAATTTCCATTGATTTGTCATTTGATGTTAGAACTTATTTTTGGAATGTTACACCTTGATCTCAGGTACAGGCCTGGTTAAGAAGAAAGGTTTTAAGGGATCTTTTGCTGAAGCAGGAGCTTCTGCTAAGGTTGTTAGCTATGCCTTTCCACTAACATGCTTTATGCATTGTTCTAAATTTCCTGCTTTTTTCATCATGTATGCTAATTTTTTGAAGTTCAGACATTTGCAGTTTTATCTGGAGTTCATAGTCTTGTTATTTGCTTCCTCAAGAGAATGCGAGGAAAAGATGATGGTATGTAACATTGCCATTTATATCTTAGCTTAAAAGGAATATAGTTCTTCTCCCTAATCTGTGTATCCTTATTATGTCAGTCATTAATGCTGGTGTGGCAGGCTGTTGCACTGGCCTTGCTTTGAGTTTTCCAGGTACTTCATTCTCTCAATAACTTTTTACGAAGAGTGATGAACAATTTTATTGTATTTAATTTATTTGCGAGGGTTAATATTAGCATCAATGTGCAATGGTATATGGTAGGTCTAGCATTCTTCTGTAGACCGTTGGTTTTTTTTTTTGGCATCTTGTGAGTATTCTTGAAAGATCAAAATAATCTTTGAACTATTTATATGGGACCATTTTAGTTCTAGCTATTTAATTTTTTTGTTTAGTCCATTGTGATGTAGTGGATCGTCGGAAGATGATACCTGCAAGAAGGATTTGAAGTTTTCCCAATCCAGGGAAGAAGAACAATAAGCTATCAAAGCTTTCTAAAGAGATAATATCATTCAATGCTTTTCTTCTTCTACAAGACCTCCTACTTATGAGAGCAAAAGAGTATTCTAGAACAAAATGGATAAAGAACTCCTAAGAACTATCCTAGCTTAAAATGCACCGCATCACATTGACTCATCAAATATGATTCAAAATGATCAAATTTGATTAGTCAAAGAGACTAAATTGGACACATTAGATGGTCTGGGACTAAAATAGTCTCCTATAAATAGTCCATGGATCATTTTAATGTTTTCTTTTGGGAGAAATAGTTTTGAGAAAAGATGATAGATAAGTACCATAGAAAATCAACACAGGACAATTTATATGCTATATAGAGTTTGTCACGCTTACACACAATTTTGTTTAATATATCGAGAAGTTATTTTTTGGTATGGACATATGAAGTGTAGAACAATCAACTTTTAATTTTCTTATGAAATGTCTATCCACTTACACAGGCTTGGTACAATTATGCTGTGCAGGATTGTGAGCTCATTTTATTTCTAAATCTCCTAGAATAATTTTAATCTACAGAGATTTCCAAATACTTTGAGGAATTGCTTTGAATTCAAATTTAGTGTTGGATCTTGAATCAACAAATTACTTCTTGTTTCTCCCATTTATAAGATTTTGTCCCAAAAGTATGCAACATCTTGAAGTAGATCTCCTATCTACTAGTGATCTCACATAGTCACTATCCGTATAAACTTCACTTTATAGAGTATCATATTTTTTGTAGAGAACTCGTTTTCCAGAACTTGATTTAGGGTAACTGAGGACTCTGTAAGCTGTTGAATGTGAGGTTCTTTGGGTTTGTGCGCAAATTGACTTATAAGATTTACTGCAAAGGCATTATCTGAGCGTGCGTGCTATAAATATATTATTTTTCCTAACTAATCTTTGATATTGTTAAATTTTCACTTCTATTCCTTCTTCATCCATGTTCAATTTTTGACCTGATTCCGTCGTTGTTTCATATTACTTAACAATCAATCATCTTTGTTATATGTTTATATTATATTTTGTTCAGAGATAAGTATTCATTATTCTTCTTATTGACCAATTTCTATACCAATAAAGTATTTGAGTTTGTTCAGAGCCATGATTTAAAATTCTTTAACAAGTTTCTTTTTTTTT